GAGTTTCTACCAGTTTGTCTGATAGGTTGAGAACTTAGTAACAGAATAAGACCTCAAAACACCAATCTGTATCACTTCACCAGTGGGTGGATGTTGGGGAGATGTTGAATGACACTTTTTCTACTCCCTGGCTTCACAGAAAATATCACAAAAATATCCATAATGATTACTTAATTGTGCATAGTACTATAAAGTAGATGCTCTTCATGCCATTTAATAGTTGTTGGAATGAGATAACTGAAAGATTAAGTAATTTTCTCAAGGTCACATGGTTTGAAAGTTAGTGGGAAGCTGAGTAAGAATAGGGACAGTTTGGCTACAAAACCTACATTCTCAGGTCACTGCTGTCATTATAGTCTTTCTCTTTGGAGTTATGTGTTTATCTGTGTGTAGAAAATTAGGGACTTGCTTTATAGCCTGTTAACTTGTATATTAAAGTTGCGCACTGCTAAGGGTTATCAAACTCAGTTTCCTGATTAAAGTGTGTGTATTAACACATATACACATACCCCATTATAATTCTTCCACTCTTTTTCAGAATCTTGTGACATTATAGAGTTCATTAAATCACTTAAAGGCAGAAGAATCAATATTGTATGTAGCACAGTATCTGTCAAGACCTAAAAGTATGTAAATGTTGACTTAGAACAAGAAGCAAGTTAGTTGAACCTGCCTAAATCTAAATCGGTGAATTTACACAATGGATAATACTTTGGAACAACTTAATATATATATTTTATATATGTAAATGTTAGCATATATTTTTAAGATTTATTATTTATGCATACTGAGCTGGGGTACAGGCCAGAGATGCAGGGGCGGTGAGAGAATTCACCAGAGACAGAACAGGGAGCAGAACAGGCAGATGAAGTACACTGCTGAGGAGAGCAGCGGGCAAGACTGGAGAGGTCTGCTGTGCCATGTGGATCACCTCGGGCTGGGATCGAACTTTCAATGAAGCAGCTGTGACTAGCTTGCAGTGCTATGTCCTAACCCATTGTGCCACCAGGGAGGGCCCATTAGCATATTTTAATGTCTTGGTATAGTTGTATTAGAGTTGCAGGTTTTTGTTTGTTTGTTTGTTTGTTTTTTTACAGAGATAACTGGATTTGTTCTTAATTGATGCCATTCTTCTGTGTGGGTTTTTTTCTTTGTATATTTAGTTTATGTAAATTGGTTCAAATGTATGTAATGACTCTAGGCCTGAAATATACCTTTTAAATAACTCGTATGGGAATATTATTGAAATCAATAGTATGTTTTTATTACCTAGACTTTTCACAACCATGATAAGCTATCAGTCCCTTAAAAGTCACTTTTATAGTCTAGTTTTTAGATTGTTGCGGTTGTGTCTGTGTATGTGTGCGCACAAACACTCTCTGGAAGAAATTGGGGAAGAATAGGTGTTTGAAATTGGGAACAACTTTACTAATTTATAATTTTGGGTAAGATACATAATTTTAAGTGTTTTTTGACTTTATGTGGGAACATGGCAAAATTAGCTTGAGTATTAAATGAGTATACATGTTCACAGGTAACTATGTTCAATAATTCTAGTTGAGGAAGGAAGAATAAAGATTAAATAGAAACCATAATATTTTCTTTGTAATTTTTCTGTGGGGAGATAATCCCTGTCTTTAAACAAGGAAGTGGGAGGCAGCTATTAATGTTCTTTTTTTGTCAGTTATTTTTAATTTTTGAAAAACTATATATGAAAAGGGAGTGTATATGTGTGATTATTTTTTGACTTCCAGATATTTCTGTAATAAGGACTTGAAACAATTGTTGAGGTGGCTATTTGACAATTGTTAAGTCTTTATTCTATCCCTAGAGGTTAAGGTAAAAATATTTCTTTAGTGAGAATTCAAATGATCCATAGTATTTTAGAGTTTGGGTTTCTGCATTATGAAATTTTAGTTTTCCTTTTAAATACATGACTTAATTAGTACTATTCAGCAACCTTGAAATTGATAAATTATAAATTTGTTTCCTTAAATAACATACACCTGGCAGATTAAAAATGGTCTTGATAATAAAAACGAATAAAAGGTCTTTCATCTCTAACTCTTCTGTGGGTTCACTGCAGACACATTCCTATTGCAGCTGTCTTCTTAGGGTTAAACATTTGCTATATTGTAACATACGAAAGCAGTTAAGCTGTTTGGAATTGTTTACTTGTTAAAACCAGTGTTAGTCAGCAGAGGCAGTACACCAGATTTCCTTGTGGCTTTTAGTGGAAAATGTTAAAAGCGCACTCATTTTTCAGTTATAGAATTCGTCAGTTTGATCTGGATTAGTCACAGAACTGGCATGAACCTTCTAATTGTGAAGGCTGTCCAAATGCACTATTTTTTTTTTTTCTCCTGCTAGAGGAAGTTACATCCTGAGCAATAGCTCAGATCTCTGGTAAGTGTAACATGTGAGCATTACTAGGCATTTCATCCTGCGGTTCTGCAGTCTCTGCTGTTCAGACTGTTGCTCAGTTGGAATGCTTCTATGCAGCGGATCCTGAGGTTCTATAGATAATTTTAAGGACCTACTCATTTGGAGGTGTAAGTGGCATTTTGCAAGATCATCTAAGGAACAGGAAGGCTTCCGATATCTACTGAAAAGGATAACTGTAGCGGTTTTCAGAGTGGAAGGAAACTATTGGCACAGAGGCAGACGATTGAATAAAGTAGTTGGCTCAAAGAAGATGCACAGTCTGCTGTTTTTTCCTCTGAATGAAGACTATTTAATGGAAGCTGTATTCACGTGGAGTTCAAAGGAAACACTGGAATGATAAACTGCTGGGGTTCCCCCCCCCCCATATCTTTTAAAATGAAAAGCCTGAAGCAGTAACTTGAGCTCAAATGCCTTCTAATTCCTTCGCAACCTGCCTGTTTTATTGGGATTCTCTGCTAACACCATTTCTGCCTGGTGCCTGTGCCCTTGCACTGGAGCAGCTATAGACAACTGCCTGATGGAGAAGGAATGAACGCTCTGCCTTGCTTGTGCTATCGATGGGAATAAAGCTATCTGTGTTTCTTCAATTATTTGGGATATCTGGATTAATCAAGCTGTGTTCTAATACCAAGAGTCCTATTGTCTTTCATGGTCTGACTCATCGCATGTAAATGTACTGCAGCTTTGCTATTAATGCAGAGTGTTGTTTTTTTCTTTCCCCAAACACAGAAAGAATTGTCAACCTCTGAGCTTCGTTTCAGAATTTGTGCTGAATCCTAGATGTATTTTTTTCCTCTGGATAGTATCTGATTAAACCAGTGAAGCTGAAGAAATGAAGATTAATTAGAAGTGGAACAGAATAGTGAGATTTTGTTTTTTATTTCAGTTATAAGCAAGCTAGCTACTGGTAACTATATGACCTTGCAGGCAAGAGTGGAGAGAGCTGTAATCATTTCTGTCACAGCAGTTGTTTCTCATATCATTTTCTTCATGTGGTGTTGAGACCCACAACTACAGTGTTTTTTATGCAAGTAAATTTTTGAGAGATAGTAGTGCAATAGACTGTTTTGGTAGGGAAAAATACTTTTAAATGAGCTTGTACTGAACTTGCTTTTAGTTACTAATATCTTAATGGGAAATTTCTTTTAAGTACTTCAACAAACCGGCAGAAAATAATAGTATTTTGTTGTTTTAGAAAGTTTTCAGTTATACAGCGGTAGTTTTAAACTTTAATTTTTATTATAGTACTTCAAAAAATAAAACAGCTGCTCTGTTCAGAGAATGATTCTAAGTATTGTACAGAGGAGAAAAAACTATTTTTGCTCTTTCAACTGTGACTTTTATCACATAGCTTGGAATTTAGTATTTTAAAAGAGCGAATGAGTCGAGTGTGTATTGTTGTTTTGGAGGAGGTAGAAGATGAATCTCCTGCATTCATTTCTAAATTGCCACAGGAAAATAAACCCCTATATTCTCCACCTTCTGGAAATGTATTGGTAAGATATGAGAGTTTATATGTCTCTACTACTGCTCTAGTAGGGTAAATTTTTTTTTGTTTGTTTCTAAGGATAATCAGTTTCCCCTAGTTTCATTAAAAACCCAAATTAAAATAACACAGGTTTATAAGTAAGGTATATTACTTATATATAAAATGCACAATTCCAGTTTTTAAACTTTATCAGATGTCTAGATACTATTTCAGACTTCTTAATCTTTTAAAAAGACTTCAAAAATACTTTTGAAAATAGTGACTATAGCAACCACACTTCTGTTTTCATTTTGTGGTTTCAAAAGCTAACGTATAAGAATGAACTCTGTATTTTAGGAAAGATTACCTAATGCCAGAAATATCAGAAATACTTTTCTTTAATGATTTTTGGTATGTTATGTTAAAACGAATCAAACTTCATCTTTAATCTTATTTTTATTGCTCTTGTCAGAGGACTTTTTGGCTAGTATAATATGATACCTTATCAGAGCAGCTATGTCTTAAGAAATTTGTTATATTTAGAAATGTACTTGTTTCCCTCTTCATGTTATTCAGGTATCGGTATTTTGGTCTTTGAATAGAAGTGATTTTCATAAGTTATAAGATACGCTTTCTTTGAACTTGTTTTTATACACATAATGCTGACCTCAGACTTTCCTAGGAGGCATTCCTTGTTGGGCCTCAGCATATGCTGGGAACCGCCTGTTTAACAAATTTTGCCCCACAAATAGATGTTGAGATGTCACACTTATAGGTGGAAAAGATTTTCTTTTTACCATATATAAACCAAAAATTTTCTACTAATAGAAAAATAAAATTGATTTTGTTTACTACCTCATTTTTGGCTATGCTGAATTGATTTTTTTTTTTAAATTAGGACTGCTTTCTTTCCTAAAAAGGAATCTTGTTTAATTTCATATGATTTGACTTCATGAAAATTCTTGTTAATGTAACCAAATGCTTGTTGCTATAGGAAAGAAACATTTTTAATTTAAAAGTGATATAGAAACATCTTTACAGTCATCCATGTGGTCTGATTAATGCTTTTATTACTTTCTTGTATTTTAGCCATCACTGGTGCAGGCTATATTTAACGGAGATCCTGATGAAGTTCGAGCACTAATATTTAAGAAAGAAGATGTTAACTTTCAGGTAAAACAATAAATTCACTGATACCAGTCTTTAATCCTATTTTTAAAAACTATTTCTTAGAATTATAATTTTTGTTTAAAAGACAACAGAGTTCTATTGCAGTCATATTAAATTAGGACAGAAGGGTCTTAAGGCAAAAAGGAAAGGCTGGCTATATATTCAGGGTAATAACCAAAGCACAAAAGAAAAACAAGGAGGCAATGAGTGGCCTTTGTTCCTCCCAACTTTTTATTTTTAAATTTTTTACAGAAAATTTAAATTATTCTCTCTTACACTCCTCACTTAGATCTAGCAATAGCAATATTTTGCCACATTTGAAATTGTGTCTCATATATACACAGCTTTTTATATATTACACACATTTATGTTTTTTGCTGAGTCCCATTTGAAAGTAAGTTGCAAAAGTCATGAAACTTTCTGTTAAGTATTTCAGTGTGCACTTCAAAGGATGGTTCTATTAAGGCATTTCTATTAAGTTTATAAATGTATCTGACTTGATTATAAGATCATATATGCTTTCCAGAAGTAATCATGGTAAGAATTATACATAAAGATCTGTCTGTTTGAGTCTGTCACTAAAGAAAGACATATTATTTGAAGTCTCCAAACTTAGGGATATAGTTGATTTAGTGTTCAGGTCTGATGTGAGGGACAGTTTAAGAAAAAGTTGGTTTATCTTCTCTGTCTGTGTCCCTCCAATGGCCGAGAGTTTCTTTAATTTACTAAATTGAGGCTTAAAATATATAATTTACTATAGCATAACATTTATTAATGTGTATTTTTACTGGAAAAAGTTAAGTATATTTTTCATACACAATTCAATCCTCTGAATTAGTGGGGTGGAAGGGTCATGATTAATGAAATTGCTTTTAGCAACAACAAAAAAGATGACCTAGAAATGATTGTAGTTCTTACAAACATCCTCTGCAAACTGATCTCTAACTCACTTTTCTTCTGTTTTTCTTAAAAATAATACTGTGACCACTTGATGTTAAGTAGATATTGAAAGTATTTCTTTGCCCTTTTTTAAAATTCAAATCCAAATATTTGAATTTTTAATTAATAGTTCATTCTAACATTAGGTAATGAACCAAATGCTATTACTACATTTTTTCCCTCAAACCTTACAATGTCAGTTGCTTAAGTTTGTGTTTATTGGCAACATGTGCATCTAGTAAAGGGTTTTTTTTACATGGCTTCTGTATGTAATTGGGGGTGTTCTGGACAGTTTACTTTTCACAGGGCAGAAATAGTTACAAGGGTGTATAGACTTATGAAAAGAAAATGGCTTTCTGTTCTGTTTAACTTTAATTTGAGAAGTTTAAAGAATTTTTTTATTATGGTACTAACAGATCTTACCGTGGTGAGAAAGTTTGGACTATAACCAACCTTACATAAGTAAATTTCTCCAGCACCATATATCGTTACTATAAAGAGCACTGCTTTTCAGATCACCTTATCCTCTATTAATCAAATTATCCTAAATTAAAATAAATTTGAAATTTATGCTGTACATCAGTTTATTCTGCTGAGATGCCATTATTGTTGCTGTGTATGTGTAACACATCAACCTCAAGATTTATGGTTTTTTAGCCTCTTCTTTCCTACTTTTATAGAGTCTTTTTGTTTTTTTGATCTTTTAACTGTTTATAACTGCTGCCATTCGACGAAGTACGCTGCTGAGGGGAGCAGTGGGCAGGTCAGGAGAGGTCTGTGGCGCCACGTGGTCACTTCCGGGGCAGGCGGGAATTGAACTCATGTGGAAGTGGCTTTAGCTTCTTAGTGCTGTGCTCTAACCCACTGTGCCACCAGGGAGGGCCAAATGTAATATTTTATCACCATGTAATTTTTCAGTAATATGAAAACTTTTAAGAGTTACTCTTGTAACAACTTTTATTTTGTATTACAGTATTACTAACTATCATGCTACACAGTACATCTCAGGACTAATTTTATAATTGGAACTATATATTCCCTTTATCCACCTTGCCCACCCCATTCCATGTCTCTAACAATCACCATTCTACTTCCTGTATCTATGAACTTGGTGGAAGGGGTAGGGGCATAAATCTCTTAAGTGAGATCATATGTTTACTTCACTTAGTAAAATGCCTTCAAGATCCATCAGTATTATTAAAAGTGGTAAATTTTCATTATTTTTTATGACTGAATAATTATATTGTGTGTGTATATGTACATACGTACACATTCATAAATACTAAATTTCCCTTATCCATTCATCCATTGATGGATGCCTAATTGTTTCCAGATCTTGGCTATTGTAAATAATGCTGTATTGAACTTGGGAGTACGCATATATCACTTGAAGTTAATGTTTCTGTTTTCTTTGAATATATACACAGAATAATCAACATTTCTTAAAATCTCCTAGCTTATTGTTCCTTTGCTCTAAAGCTTGGGATAGAACTAAAAGCAAGGTTAGTACTTCAAATATACAGACACTTGGCAAGTTTTGTGATTATTTTTAGATCTCTTGTGACTTTTAGAATTTGAGAGGATTTTTTAAAAAGATTTATTTATGTATGCAAGAACTGGGATGTACGCCAGAGGTGAGGGGATTCACCAGAGACAGAGTGGGGAGCAGAACAGGCAGATCTACTGAAATAACACTGTTAAGGGACAACAGGAAGAGGTCTGCTGCACCATGTGGGTCAGCTCCCTGGCCGGGAACCAAACTCATGCTGTAGTCACTGCCAGTAGCGTCATAGTGCTGAGACTTAACCCCTTGAAGGAGGCCCCCCTGAATTGGAGGGGATTTTTATAATTTTAAAGTTTGTTAAAAGCATCATAAAACTTGCCCTGGGGTTCCATTTGTTTCAAGCCTACTGTAAGTCCATCTTACTAGCAAAGGTGGTAGAATACAATTAGATTTTACTTCAGACAGTGACCACTTTTCACTCCTGATTCATCTCTTGGGGCAAGAATAGAAACTAATTTTTATTGATTATATTGCTTCTATGTCAGCACTTTCATAGTAACGAATAACGGGGGACCATTTGAGTGGTCTAAGAGGACTTGTTTTTTAGAAGATTCTTTGATTGCCTAAAAATGATTGAAGTAACAAACTTACAGAAAAAATAAAAAAGTTAAGTTAGATGAAGAAGGAGCTTTATAGTACTGTGTGACAAAAAAGAATGAATACTCAGACCTCCCTTAATAGCATATTTGTTAATAGGAGAAAAGTGTCATTCAAAGTAGTATCAAACAAAGATTAATTATAATTCAGCTATCTACTAGTTTAGTGTTTAAAACAGAGGAATACTTGGATTATGAGTGTTTTAAAGTAAAGAGTTAAGAAAGATCTTGCCTGCATCATGTAATTAATATTTTGCAGATATCTCCTTGTGTATTTAATTGATTTCTCAATTTGGATTTATTTTGCCATTTATTTATTTTGCCATTTTGGGATTAGTTTGCCAAATTATTCTTTCAAATTATTAACATCTTTTAAATTTTCAAGAAATACTTGATATTCACTTTGTCAGATGAAGTGATCAACAAATGTATACATAGACACGTACACACACAGGTCACAAAGCAGTTAGTTTTCACTACTGCAAAAATACTTTACAATAAACCCCATGTTTCCACAGGTTACATGAACTACTTCCCCCCATTCTTCAGTGTTCTCTAGTCCTTTCTGGAAATTGGCAAGATGTGCTTTGCTAGTCAACAAATCTTTTCTTCTGGCCACATGTCACTTCTGCTGTTTGTCAGTATACCAAGCTGTTACTATTCCTTAGCTCTTTAAACCTCCTCACTCATTACTTGTGGTTATATGCACTTTCTGTCTTAAGACTATGTGTGTACATGATCTTCTGAAGCTGTGCACAGTAGCTAGTATTAGAGCTTAAAACTCTTCAGACTCATTTTGTATTCCCACACAATGTTCGGCTTGCTTCCATGGAACATGGAGTAGAATGAGGGGAAAAGATGAGAAATAAACCACCTCCTGCTTCCACCTGGGAGAAAATTTCCCTGTAGTTTCCCTAGGGTTTGCCTAGAAATAATACATTTATTTCATGCTTGCTTTTTCCTGTTCTATTTCTAGCGCTACTAGATTCCAATCTCAGATTTTCACTTTTCCTTCAGAAATAAATGAGTATGTTATATGTATTGTGACTACACATGGCTACTACATGGCTTTTAGGATAATCTTCCACAACTAAGGACCCATTGAAACCACCTGTTTCTGCAGCTAGATACTGATGGTGACTTAGTTTTTTATTCCATCAGTTAGTTTTTATTGAGTATGTGCTCTGCATCTTTTTTTCAGCCACTATACTTTTTGGTGTTATATTATTATAGAGAGAGCTTCTTTACTTTTCTTTATATTGACATAGTTTTTACATTGTATATTTATGATATAATTTACTTAATCAGCCTCTTAGAAGGCATTTGGGTCATTTTAATAAATGGTAGCTTTTTACCAAACAAAAACTACTTCAGTGGACAAGCAAAAATTGTATAAGATTTGTATTATGAACTATTTAAACATGTTACCAAACTTCCACATAGATTAACTGTCCTTGTAGCAATTTTAGTGGATATATGTGCAAATTTCTGATAGAAGTTAAACACTGCTATTTTTTAATACATACAATGAATACTTGCAAATAATGCGGGTGATTTCTATGCTTATAAGTAAGTCATGATGGTTAGAGTTACATCATAATTTATGTTTTAAATTTAAGGCAGAGCTGAAGTTACTAATTAATTGGATGGGTTTCAGCACCTAAGCCTATTTTTTTTTTAAAGTTTTATTGAAGTACAGTTGATACACAAGAAATTGCATAGATCTGAAGTACAGGATTTCCTAAGTTTTTGCATCATGTACACCTCTGAAAACATCACATCCATCTAGAAAAGTTAATATTCCCATCGCTCATGATTCCATTTGCCTGTAATATCTCATCTGCTTTGTCATTATATATTATTTTGAATTTTCTAGCACTTTATGAAATGTAGTCAGTCATACA